TGTTTTTTGCTTATTATAATGTTTGCTTATTATACATTTATCATTTGTGAATATATTTTTGGCCATAGGTTTTACTGATAGTTCTTTTCTAGAATTTTGGCTCCTGTGATGTCTAGGTATCTTTTGCTTCATTCTACTTCATTACTTTAAGGGGTATATGATTTCATGTCTATGAGTACTCTCCTTACCAATACAGAAAGCAAATCGCTCAACACTTTAATAGATGGTTTTGTGCGTTTTTCTGACCTCACCTGGTGGACAAATATCTGATAGTGATCCTTTGTAAACTTAGCTAGGCTGACCTTCAGATGATAAACATTCAGACCATTATTCATTCCTACAAAGAATCTTTTTCTGCTTGGGAGGACCTATTAGAGCATCTGCTGCACTGATTTCAAGTTAGAGAACCAACCCATTGATATTTCAGAATTATGATCAGCTATCTGAGTAGAACTTCAGTGGCAAGCTTGATTCAAAATTGATATATTTTCTTAATGAAAGGGGCATAGAGCATGATTGTTGAGCAACTCTTGAATGATTCATTCTTACATTTGCATTTATATGAAAGTATTGTGTTGTTCAGTCCTGTCTGACTCTTTGTGACCCCTTTTGGCATACTGGAATAGTTTGCCATTTACTTCCCCAATTCATTTTACAGATGAGAAACTGAGGCAGAAAGGGTTAAGTGATTTGTCCAGGGTCACATGGCTAGTAAGTGTCTGTGTCTGGATTTAAGCTCACAAAAATGAGTCTTCCTGGCTCCACGCCCAGTGCTGTATCCACTGTGCCACCTAGCTGCCCATTTAAAAGCATACAGTATGTAACTAAAAAAATCTACATCAATAAGCTATCAATCTTGGGAGAACCTGAAGAATGCTTGTTGCATATATGTGCATGGTATATGGATATGACTGGACGCAAACATTACATGTGCTGTGTCACTAAAAATTCTCATTTGGACATTTTCTTTATGGGGTGTGTGTGTGTATACATACACACATACACACACACACACACACATATATATAAAACAATACTCAACATTTTCAATTCAACAAATATTCACCTGCTATATGAAAGTCATTATCACTGTCAAGTCATTCTCAATTCTCCCCATAACTCTATATCAAGAATTCAGAGAATAAGGTTTAGTATTGCTTGAACTCTCACATGAAAGTTTGTCCTACGGAAAGCCAATTTAATATACCTATAACTCTCTTAGAATCTTATATTTTAAAGTTCAATAACACGTAACAAAATCAGGGAACAGATTAAACATTAAAGTACAGACACAAGTATGGTTCCATAACCTTTTGAAAGACAGTTTTGTAGTTTGTAGTTGGAGTATTGACTAATAAAAACCCATTTACATTGTAAATGTACTGTTTATGACTTGTGTTTCGGAATGGGTGAATAATGGTTGGGGAGAGTGATTACAACAATGTTTCAAATTTTCTATGCCCCTCCAATCTCACGTTTTTCTGACTAGGTGAAAAGTCCAAGAGGGTATTCTTGGTCTACAGGTGACATTCTAGGCAGTGAATTTTGCCAGAGTGAAGGCTATAAGTTTGGAGGATGTAGTAATAGGAAAGTAGGAAAATTGGTTTGCTCAATTAAGGGCCAGGAAGACTTGCCTTTTTAGTCACTATCATGGTAAGCAACATATGTGATATGTATCAAACTGACCTTTTCTCTGTTACTGACATGACATTGTATATTTTAAATTCATGTCTTCTCCCAATTTCTGGAATATACTGCAGCATTACTTCTGCAACATGGGGTCCTACTCTTCCTCTCAGATGCACCTCTAGCACAAAACCTTTCTTGATCTTCCAAATTGTTAGTGCCTTCCATCCCTATCTTATATTAACTGTTTTGTGTACGTACATCTAGATTAAGCAGCTGGTTGGCACATTGTATAAGAATGTTGGACCTGGAGTCAGGAAGATCTGAATTTGAATCCTGCCTCAAACACTAGCTATGTGACCCTGGGTTAGTCACTTAACCTCTCTCAATTTCAGTTACCTCATCTGTAAAATGGGGATAATTATAGCACCTACCTCATACACATATTTGTAAGCAGCAAAGGAGATAACATATGCAAAGAATTTTTCAAACCTAAAGGAACTATATAAAGGCAAGCTATTTCACTAATTATTTTGTATTTATTAACTTTATGCTGCATATGTTTTTATATATACTTGTTGTTCCGCTCATTAGGATATAAGTTCAATGTGAGTAGTTTCATTCTTGATACTTGTATATTGTCAATATCCAGTATAGTGCCTGGCACTATATTTGTCAATTAATTTGTATAGATTAACTTGGCCCTTCCCTCTAGATTTAATTGGCTATGAGAATAACATAATGTTGCTTGAGAACTATTTGTACAAATGACTTATGCCCATGTGATTAGAATTATATAAAAATGTTATTCTCTAACTGTGCTTTATTAAGCTTGAACTTTTTTTTTAAACCAACTCAAAGGAAAGTATTTCTTGGGTTTTTACAATAGCTATAAAATACTAAGATAAGAACAATTATCCCCTAAAGGGCTGTGAAGGTGGCTGAATAAAAAAGTATATTCATAGTTGTATATACGTTTTCCAAGGAACTGATACATAAAGTGGTGGTAGTTAAATTGAAGTTTAAAGTAAGAAAGTTAAATTCTAGAAATGGCAGTATAAACTATCTCATTGAAAAGGACGTGCTTGCTTTGGGCACCAAGGTTTTCAACAATGAGTGGATTCTTTAGTACACACTAATAGGATATCCATATAGCTCAGGATGTTTGTTTCCCCTGTCCACCCCAGAATCATAGGATTTCATAATGGGAAGACAACTTGGAAACAATCTATTACACTCCCTTTATTTTATAGGTAAGGAAACCAATTTTCATAGAGGAAAAGCTCAGTAACATCAAGCTGGATGACAAAGCTGTGTCAAAAAACCAGATTTCCTAATCATCAGTTTGCTGCTCTCCAGTTTCTTTAGCAGCCAGTCACTAAACACATATTGAGCACCTACTGTGTACCCCGTGCTGAGTGCTGGGGATACAAAAAAAAAAAAGCAAAAGACAATACTTCCTCTTAAAGAGATAATATGCAAGCAACTATGTACAAACAAACCATAAACAGGATAAATAGGAAATAATCAATAGAGAAAAGGAACTAGAACTAAAACTAAGAGGGATTGGGAAGGGCTTCTTGTGGCCTGGGATGGGATTTTAGCTGGAACTTGAAGGAAGCCAGGGAATCCAGGAGGTGGAGGTGAAGAGAGAGAACATTTCAGGCTTGAGAAAATGCCCTGGGCTGAGAGATGAAATGTGGTGTTTGAGGAACAGCCAGAAGGTCAGTGTCACAGGTTCCAAGTGTACATGCAGGGGATATAAAGTGGAAGATGATTAGAAAGGTGTGTTGGGGGTGGGGGTAGTTTATGAAGGGTTTTTACTGGCAGAGGATTTTATATTTAATCCTGGAGGTGATAGGGAGTTGGGAAGGCAGAGAGAGAGAGTGAGAGAGAGAGAGAGAGAGAGAGAGAGTGTGTGTGTGTGTGTGACCTGTGCTCAATCACTTTCATAGCTGAGTGGAGGACAGACTGGAGTAAAGAGGGATTTGTGGTGGGCATAGACTGTTGTAGTAGTCCAGGTATGAGGAAATCAGGACCTGCACCACTGGTGGCAAAGGCAGTATCACAGGAGAGAAAGGGGGTAGGGTACTTGAGAGATGTTGCAGAGGTGAAATCTACAGGTCTTGGCTACAGATTGGATATTGGGGTGGGATGGGAGGAGAGAAGAAAGATAGTGAGGAGTTGGGAGAATAAAGGATATTGTGTGCAACCTTGTAAAGGCCTTTTCAAGAATGACTAATTTGATTAATCAGGACATCAAGGGTGCTTATGCAAGATGTCATGTGACTTTCAAGGAGCTGACATGATCTGCCAAGACTATAGCAAAGAGAGGATTCTTCCAAAGCCATCACTGGGTCACAGCAAACTGGGTTGATAACTCTCATCCCCAAACTAATTTTAGCCCCAGTAAAAACAGTGAGGGC